AACGCGGCCATTTGTTACAACGTCCTATATTTCACGAATTCGGCTACAAATTCATAAGAGGCTATCAAGTCCACTTTACCCCGCGGCAGCCTCGGAGATAATTGTGCTAATGATGTTTCTTGTATTTCCAGGACAAGCGAGATGTATGTCGCACGATCGGTTAATGGTCATTCAGCCGAGTCGCTTCCAGTGGCACAAGATGAAGGATTACCTCCACTTTTACACTTTGCTTACTGGCATTCCCGTCGTCATCACGATCACCCTGGTTAATGTGTTCATCGGCCCTGCCACGCTCCAGGAGATCCCTGAGGGTTACGTTCCGAGGGAATGGGAGTACCTTCAGGTAAAATCTGGAAGGCTGGGAGGAAAGAATTGTCCCCCTAGTGGCACACTGCGTTGGCTCGACGTTGTTTATATTAGAAATGCATTGGCCGATATTTTAGCTGCTTTCCTTTTACACTCAAGTGATACTGAGTCACTCAGTTATGTGAGTATTTTATACTCAGATATGACGTCATTAATGTGAGTCTATTAAACTCACTAAAGCACACGGTCTTGATCGTGCGCAAAAACTCAGTTAAATCTGGTTGAATCTCACTTCTCAAGAATCAAAAGGAACATGCATTCAACTGAGTTATGACGTCACAAGTGAGATTTATCTGAGCTTTCATGTAAAAGGAAAGCAACTATTGCCTAACGTAAAGCCGCTATTGGCCATAGAATAAATGTAAATGTTGCACGATAATAATTGTATGTACAATATTAGCTACTGCTCTAGTAGCACAGTGCAGCTTTTCGTCGAAACGTTTCAAACGACTTTCGACAACTACCGAAAAAACGGAAAAGCAATCGTTCTCTCTCTCGTTCGTTTCAGCATCCGATTAAGAGATTCCTCCAGCGCTACATCTTCCCGTCGCAGCAGCAGGAATACGAGAAGTTCCTGCACCACATGTACCACGAGAACCAGCTGAGGAAAGTCAGGAAACTCGAGTATCAGGTAAACATGGCGATGGGCACCCGTCGGGATTACAGGAGCCAATACTTCAAGGAGTTCTACGGCTCCAAGTATCTGTACGCGTACAGAGAGACAATAGACAAGAGGGTCGCACTTGAGGAGTGAACCTGACTTCATTCTGCTTGTAATGAGAGTTTTTGATTGGGGGAGCACCGTGGGAGCTGGTGGAAATTATTCGGACGGGTGTAGATACGTAGATCTCGTGCTCTAGGACTTCGGTTAACTGCCTGGTTAAACTTATGCCGCAGAGTGAACCCTGCGCGGCGATCTCTGCCGATAAATTACGTCGCATTGTACAGTTACTATATAGCTAATAAAGTCTTGATTAAAGTTTCCCCTGTGTGAGAGCATGCGCCGAAATAATTATTTGGATTTCAGTTTTTCTTGTCGCACGCGTACATGTAATCATTTCATACGATTCTTTATGAGAATAACCTGAGAGGTTTCTTTACTAACGTTGCGCACCGAATTTAAAGACCTTATAGATATAGGCATTTTTCAGTTGACTCATACGTAAGTCGAGAACGATTTATCAGCCGCACGTTCACATAATTAATAAAGTGTTGAATAATCACTGCGGCGTGTCTCTTCACTCATAAGGTGCGCGCTATCGGGTGTAAATCGTTTCCCATAGTAATATAATCGTTCCTCAGCTGGCGATTTGCGGTCAACCGCAACCGTCAATTCATCATTTCTTTCCGGATCTGGATCTCAGCGGGAACCACAACGTCCGAGGCGCACAATCGATATATTAGTTTTAATTAAAATATCACTTCGGCTTTTCAATAAATTCCATTCCAAGACCCACTGGTATTGGCGTGTTTATTCGCGTCGACTGCCAAAAGGCATTCTGTAATCTTGAGAGTTGAACTTGACGAAATCGAGTCGCCTTTGATTCCCGCTGCGGTTCTCGCACGTGCATTTTAGCCGAAATGAAAAACCGATTGATATCCGTTTCTACACTGAGAAACACTTTTATTCAATCGTTTAAGTTTCCCGAGCAAATTATGGACATATTCGATGAAATTTCTCCAGTAAAATTGCAATCACCGATGAAATTTTATCGAGAAACCGATTATACTTTTCATCGGATATAGAATTTGATTGAACATGTCCGTTTGTTAATATGTAATTAATTATCCGATTAGATAGGCCAGGATATTTTTCTCAGTGTACCAATGCAGACTAACTTTGATCTTGGTTTAATTTACTTCTTATACTTTTTCTAGCTTCAGGAATTGGAAAAAGTATTAGAAAGTAAGTTATAGACCGGGATTAAAGTTAATCTGCACTGGCAGAAATGGGCGTGAATCTTTCGGCAGGCGCGACAGACGGGGAAGATTCAGTGTCGCGATCGTGCGACATTAAACCGAAACGCGTCGTCGAGAGAGACCGGCGCAAGCAATTTCTTCGTTCGCTTTTGCATAAAATTCAATTGACCGAGAACCTTGGGTTATCGACTTTTTTTTAAACGCGATCTCTCTCCGCATTCGTGCTGAGGCCGCTGTCATGCGAGCTGTCTCGCGCGTACACCGGACGTTTCCGTTTCCTCTCGTTTCCCGTTTAAAACATTCACGTCGTCCTCGCGAAACCCTTCTGGCCTCCAGTCGACGATTGCACCGCGTATCATATGCAACAATACGTATCGTTGCGTCATTACGATCCTCCAGTAATGGGACGTGTGTTCTGTTTCAACTGTTAGAGTCTCTCCAGACAAACTTGCACAGGTGCATAAACATATACATGAAGAAATTGATTGGCCTATTTCCTTACTTTTATGCGCTATGCAAGTTTGTCTGGATGCATAGCGTGCATAGCGCATAAACGTATGCACGAGGAATCTGATTGGACCATAAATGCCCGCGTAAGGAAATGGACCGATCAATTTTTTTTACGCATATGTACCTGTGCAAGTTTGTCTGGACTCCTACGCTAGAACCCTACTGTAGCACCCGGGGATTTTGCTGGCGACACGTAAGATTCTTAGACCCGGAACGTTTCCCTCGCGAAAGTACCTCTCCCAGTATCTACGGAATGCAAATAATAAGATCACATCTTTCAATTGTTTTCCGGTAAAACATTGTCTCCCTTACGAAAAAGTGACGAGATAATTATACTAGAAAATTATTTTATGTCAGTGATTGAATCATTAGAAATTACTATGTACTTTTGTGGAATAGCTGCGAGTTGATTGGCTACACATTTCTCGAAACTAGAGCCTGGACCAAGCTCTAGCGTCGTGGACACAGGCCTTAACTGAGTTAAGTTACAGCTACAGATGGGGAGAAAGTAACGAGGTGAAGTTAAAGTTACAAAAAAAAACCGTAACTGTAACTTCGTTACAAGTAACGAGTCACTTTCCACCCTGGGTAAGGGGTGACTTGCGAGTTTTTGTAATTAGATAATAAGAAAGACGATAAGAAAGAGCATTCGTCGCGAGAAACGTCGCGCTTCCGCCTCCCGCGATTCTCTGTGATAACGCGATGTCCTGTCGGCGCGTCAACGACGCGTTGATCGCCAATGATAAGACGATAAGAAAGAGTATTTGTCGCTTTAGCGAAAAACGCTTCCGCCTCCCGCGATCTTCTGTGATAACGCGATGGCCTGTCGGCGCGTTAACGACGCGCTGATCGCCAATGTAATCCGCGGCAGCGGCAGTGGTCATTGTCAAGGTCGCCTCGCGTATCTTGCATAATGTGTACGCACTCGCGCGCACGAACACAGAGCCCGAGTCAGCGGGCACGCAAACGGCGGCCGGCTCGGCGCAAATTCAGCCGCGTTTGTCGCATTTCCGCGCGTTTTATTCGCGCATTATTCGCGCGATATATCGTTAAATCTTCATAATTTCTCGCCCAACAATCACGCGGACACCGGCGGCTGTTTATCATCTGTCAACTCCGACAGCGTGACGCTATTCATGACGTTTTTCCGCCCATCGTTTGACGGATGCGTCTAATTAATGCGCGATTCCGAGGAACAAGAACATCAGGCGATCAATCCGTGCTTGGTTTCGCGACGCGTTTCTGCAGTCCTCTTTTAATTTTGTCATATCTTAATGCACTTGCGACTTTTCGCGAGAATGCCGGACGCTACAGGCTCCTCTGTAGACGTGCGTATAAATTTCAGGAGCTCTATTCTGTACTCGGCTACCGACAACTATCGATATCGTTAACGGCGTTTTCGCAGCTTTTTCACGTGATAGAAAGACGATACATTACTATCATTTTACTCTAGATTTTAGAATTTTTCATTTAGGATTAAAATATTCCTTCCGCTATATTAAATAGCTTTTCTATCGCGCACCCACAGGAAAAACTTCCGGATCCAATGCTACTATGTATCGTAAAATAGGATCGATATAGCGCCAATCATATTTGTTATAAAGAAAGGAATATTTAGGACGCACGGAGACGCACAGATCCGGGGTGAAGACATTCGGGAAGGATCTAGGGATCGCGTGGCGAAAGGGGAGATGAGAGAGGACTTGAGAGAAGTCCTTTTCTCTTGAGATGAAAATTTACTTGAATCGTTGGAATGTGTGAACTCTAAGTCGACGCATTTATTTTCGACTGTTTAAGAAAACGTATCATCCCACACAAATGCTGTTGAATTAAGAAAAATTAAGTTGCTTGGATTGAACGTTAACGTCACGAGCTGCCACGAACGTAAATGCAACAAACAATGCTATTACACTTGAATGTATCGTAAAATAGGATCGATATAGCGCCAATCACATTTCTTATAGAGAAAGGAATATTTTAATCTTAAATGAAAAATTCTCAAATCTAGAACAAAATGACAGTATCGCCTTTTGTCGAATATCGTGGTGTCAAGACGGAGGGAAAATTTATTCTAAACTTACATTTATACAGGGTGTCCCGAATTTAAATGTCCAAACTTCGGGAGCGTGTAGGGGATGATAAATTAAAAATATAAAGTCCTTTGGAGATATGCTCGTTTTTACTTCGTTTTGGAAAAAATCACAAAAAGAAAACGTAGTTTTAATTTTTGTATGTATTTACTATTTATTCATTCATTCATTCACACTTATTTATTCATGTTGTCACTTGCTTAATGTAGATATTGTTCAAAAAGTTGGCCTCTTGCTGCAATACAAGCAATGCATCTAGTACGGACAGCTCGTGTTGCAACCAAACACTGATCTGGTGATATTTGGTGCACTGCAGCCACGATTCGGTCTTTTAATTGCTCTCTTGAGGTGACTGGCAATGAATAAACTTCCTGCTTCAGGGCCCCCCCACACAAAGAAGTCCACTGGTGTCAGATCAGGTGATCGGGGTGGCCAAGATACTACTCCTCCACGTCGAATCTTTAGTGGGACCATTTTTTTTACCCGACAGATTAAACACAGCCAGATATACATATTTTTTGGAGACAGACTTTCGTAATTATTTAGAAGACATCCACCTGCAACAACGGATTGAGATGTGGTTCCAGCTCGATGGGTGTCCAGCTCATTATGGCAGAGCTACTCGAGCTTGGCTAGATAGGCATTATCCACGAAGATGGATTGGACGTGGA